TGGGCACCCAGCCCTAAGGATGCTCACCCGCGTGGGCACCCAAACCCATGGGCACCCAGCCCCAGGGATGCTCACCCTCATGGGCACCCAAACCCGTGGGCACCCAAATCTGTGGGCACCCAGCCCCAGGGATGCTCACCATCATGGGCACCCAAATCTGTGGGCACCCAGCCCCAGGGATGCTCACCCTCGTGGGCACCCAAACCCGTGGGCACCCAGCCCCAGGGATGCTCACCCTCATGGGCACCCAGCCCTAGGGATGCTCATCATCATGGGCACCCAAACCTGTGAACACCCACACCCATGGGCACCCAGCCCTAGGGATGCTCACCCTCATGGGCACCCAAATCTGTGGGCACCCAGCCCCAGGGATGCTCACCCTCGTGGGCACCCAAACCCGTGGGCACCCAGCCCCAGGGATGCTCACCCTCGTGGGCACCCAAACCCGTGGGCACCCAGCCCTAGGGATGCTCACTCTCATGGGCACCCAGCCCTAGGGATGCTCACCCTCGTGGGCACCCAAACCTGTGAACACCCACACCCATGGGCACCCAGCCCTAGGGATGCTCACCATCATGGGCACCCAGCCCCAGGGATGCTCACCCTCATGGGCACCCAACCCTATGGACACCCAAACCTGTGAACACCCACACCCATGGGCACCCAGCCCTAGGGATGCTCACCCACATGGACACCCAAATCCACAGGCATTCACACTCCCATAGCCACCCAAACCCATGGGGCACCCACCCTCATTGACACCAAAACCCACGGGCATCCACCCCATGGATGCTAACCCCCATAGGCACCCAAATCCATGAACACCCACCTCTACGGATACTCACCCCTGTGGGCACCCTAAGGTCTGGGTATCCACTCCCATGGCCACCCAAACCCATGGGCACTCAACCTGTGCATCCACCCTCACAGGCACCCACTTCAGCAGCACCCATCCCCATGGGCACCCCCCCCACAATGGGTACTCACCCTGTGCACCCACCCCCACGGACACTGACCTCACCGAGCACCCACCTCACCAACACCCAACCCCACCACACGCGCACGCACCTCACCAGGCGCTCTCCCTGGCAAACACCCAAATCCAACAGGTACCCTCATCAGTCGGCATCCCCACCGGCGGGCACCCACACCACCGAACACCCTCGCCAGCAGGCACCCACCCACCTGGGCCTTTTAATTTTGGGGCTGGCGGTTCCCTGCTCCCTTCTCCAAGGAAATCTGTGTGCAGACGCCCCGTGGCTGGCACAGCCGTTGCTTCCCCGCACGGGATAAACAGCTCCAGCTCTCGTACTTAAAAATCTTAACACTGTGGAATAAAGTAGGAGGCAAGATTGTTTATTACTGCAAGCAATTTTAATACAAAAATGTGTCTGGTTTTTAAACAATTCATTGGTAGAGCTTCAGTTTTGCCTCAATTTAAACCAATTGAGAGAATCACACAGCAACACGGTCAGAGCCAGAGAGGAACAATATTTAATAAATACAGGAGCTCCGGAGAGCCCTCTCCCCCAGCCCGTCTCCTGGTCACTTGGTCAGTCTGATTTTATTACAAAGAAAAAGTAGCATACAAAAGCGAGACAGGACTTGTAGCAAGTGTGCTGGTGAGACTCATTTCAAGGACAAGCAACTGTGCGTGTAAGTCCAGATTTCTTCTAGGAGCAGAGGTCACATCAATCTCAGCCTGGTTGGAAGTGGAATGACCAGTTAAATAATAAATAGGAAAAAGAGATGCAGATAAATAGCGATTCTGTAAGGAACACCTCGGGTCGATCTCTTAGGCCATCGATCCAGAAGAATCCTCTAATTTGTAGGACCCACCACCGCTAAGGGATGTATCTGAGTGATCCAGACCTGCAATCTTACCAGCGTGCTCTCCTCTGGCCAGCTTCAGCGTGAACCCCCTCCCCAAACCCATCACCATTTGTTTGTTCTTTAAAAACGAAGTTGTCGGGACAGTATTTTCAAGACAGCAATTGTCATGACCTTTGCTGTAGTGTGTGCAAATTTTATTAAGTCAAACTCCGCTTTCTTCAGGTAAAACCACATAGCTTTAAAAAAATGGAAACATAAGCCCCAAAGTCCCCTCACCTCATGTTTCTCTGGTTGAGGTATCTGTGATTTACAAAAAGAGAGTTCCTTGAACACTGTAGGATTCAGGTCTTCGTTTTTAAATATAATTTACCTTGCTGAGACAGCAAGTTAAGTTTATAAAGATGCATTTAGGAAACAATCCTAAAAGATAAAGCAGGTTCACACCCTGCACCGCGCAGAAATCCTATTTATATTTTAGTTTTTCTTTACACTTTCACATCTTGACCTTTTTTTGCTTCCTTTTTTTTTTTTTCTTTTTCTTTTTCTTTTTTTTTTTCTTTCTCTCCCACATTTCAGTTTTCCAGGCCCCTCTCTGAACAGGGGTCACCGAGAGGCAATTTTTATCTACATAAATATTCACATGAAAATAGTAACTTACAAAAAAGGAAAAAAAAAAAACCCAAATAAGGCAGCTTCATAACACAACTTTCTTTTACACTTTTAACAATATAGTTTCTCCCATTTAGAATAAATATACATCCAATGTACGTAGCAGGGTTAAAAATTGGACACAGGTTGGGTTTTCCTTCTTTCAGGAGGGCGTGGGTACAGTATTATCTTTTAGGGCCTGGAGTTTTTGGGGTGGCAGTGGTTGTTTTCTTGGACATGGTTGGGATTTTGGAGGGTTTGGCCATCCCCCGGCGCGAGCCGCCCTGCCCGCCGGCCACGCTGCTCTCCGAAGTGTCCGAGCACGCCGACTGCGTTTCCAGCAGGTCAAAATCGGAGGCGTCGCTTCCCCGCCGGCTGCTGGCCCGGCTCCCCGTGCGGCTCCCGGCACGGCTGGTGGGACGACTGGCTGTTTTTTTGGGATCTGCAAGGGGAGCCGAGAGAGCTGTGAGCAGGCAGAGGAGGAGGAGGAGGAGGAGGAAGAAGAGGAGGTTTCTTCCCCGTCCCCAGACCGACCAGCACCCAAATCCCTAGCACGGCTGCGGCTGCTTTCAACCACCCGCCCAGCACCCCTAAAATGGGGGCTTCAGCATCAGGACCGATTCGTTCCCAAACTTTTAACGAAGAAGCAGCAGCAAGCCCTCGCAGTGAGACATCGCTGCAGCATCTCTCCCAGGCAGGGACAGAGCGGTGGGCATCGGCTTCTCCAACTCACTGCGGGCTTTCTAAATATTTAATATTTTTCTCTGCCAATTTAAGCAACCGAGTAGGAACAGCGGCGGCAGGAGTTTTTCGGTCTTTGCACTGAACTTACCTGCCCGACTGGTTTTGGCACCTGTAGAGACCGGTGAGGAGCTGTTACTGGTGTCTCCAGCCAGGGAGGTTCGGCTGGAGTGGAAGGTGGGTCGCTTCAGCTTGCTGCCCGCGGAGGGGGTCACCTTGGGAGGAAGCACACACAGAACATCTTTTAGGTGTCACCTGGGCCGTAACGGGCCAAGATCCCGTCCGAGATCAGTACTTCGGCAAAAAGATTTTGACACTGAAGGAACACCCATCTTAATGGTCAAGGAGAACAAAAGCTGTCGTTTCAGCAGCGGTTAATAAAAAAGAAAAAAGCCTGGATCCTGAAAATTTGGAGGGCAACGGCAGTTTGTGCGCTGCAGGCTGATGCACAGCTATTTGTTGGAAAAAAAATAAAAGCAAAGCTGCTATCCATCTGGAGGAGGATGGCATCACCTGGGCTCAAACGCTCCGCAAAGAGAACGTGAAATCTTGCAAAAATAGGTATTTTAGCGCCTAAGCAGCTCAGGACCATCTTGGAAGGTCAAATAAAATGCAGTGTCTTGAGAAACGCGTCCCGTTGTAGGGAGGCATCAGCGCAGCGTGACTCTGCGAGGTGGAGGGATGTTGCCCTGGTGCTGGTGCCCCGGGCAGGTCCATGCACGCGAGGGCGGACAAATTTGAAGAACGACGAACAGGGACGCAGCAAATCAGCTTCGGTCGCATCCTGAAACGGTGCTTTTCCTGACCTTTAAGATGTTGCAAACGCAGATGGAAGGGTTGGGGAAGGGGAAAGCAGCACGGAAGAAAGCGAAGGGGAAGGTGCCGGCGGGACGAGGGCACCTGGATCCAGCTGGAAAGGGCAGCTCCAGTTTCTACACACCAACCAAAGCTCTGGGTTTGGGGCAGCGCTGCAGAAAAGCGACTGCCCGTGGTGTCCCCAGTCCACCCCAGGGCTTGGGGGGGGGCACCGCCGTGCTGCAGGGGTCGGCTCCAGCCCAGCTGCATCCCCGGAGAGATGTACATTAAAATCAGAGGGCATTTCCCAATGAGCTTTAAAGCAACGGCTGGAGAGGTTTCCCTCCATCCCCTGCGATTTTGTGATTTCAAGATTTCTAAGTTTCCCAAAAATGTCATGAAACTGGAGCTGCAGTGGGGGAGATGGCAGTGGGAGAGGGGCAGCCGAGAAGCAGGCTCCCCTTCGGGCGCCGTGGGAATTAAAATCCATTAACACGTGATTGCGAAGGTACCATTTTCATCATCAGAGATTTCGATTCTCGTCCTTGATCCTATTTTATAAATATGTTAACAGCAGCAAGCAGGCAATTTAGGGCAACTGGGGAAGTGCTCCTGACCTTCTGATGATTTAAAATAATTCCTTTTCTGCGTGAAAGTGCTGCCGGTTATCTTGCCAGCGCACACCACCACTCAGTGCATCACTGAGATCTACCTGGTATTTCTCATCACAGGTTCACAAGGTCAGGAAAGTCCGCAAGGAGGCTGAAACTTTAGGGAGATCAAAGTCTCAGCCCGAATTCATCCTCCTGGGAGCATCAAGCTGGTGACAGTGCCGGACACACCATACGTGCTTCAACACGGTGATAAATACAAGCGCTTCATAAAAATGAAGGCAATGTGGTTATTGTGCATGC